TAGTGAGCCACCCCTCCCTCCCCAATAATAGGTCTGAAAATCTATAATATAATATAAAAGTAATATAATAAGCTTAACATTTTGTTCAGGGTCAGGAAGATGAAGAAGAAGAGGAAGAAGAAATGGAGGATGAAGATTCTGCAGAGGAATTAGAAGATACTGATGATTATGATGATTCACCAAGCCCTGATGCGGAATCCGTTGAGGAAGAGGTATATTTCGACTTTCCCTCCCCACCCTCTTAATACAGTTAGACACTGTGCCCTCAAATATTTGAAGTGGAGGGGGTAATGTTTTTCTATTTTCCATTAATGTATCTGGAATGTGCTAATACTTGTTCTCTCTTAATAATTTCTACGGCAGGTGGAAATGATGGATTCCAGTTTTATGTAGGCTCTTCCATTCAAACTTACTTGTAAGTACAACACAGAAGAGGGGATTTCTTACTGTATCATACCACCAAGCATGTGCTTGCTGTTTTGTCTTCTGATGTGGATAAACTAGCCAAGCAAGGCAATGCTAAAAGGTTGAAGACAATTTTTATAAGCATGTGTCATTTTTAACCATCAAATCGTAATGGCATGCTTTTACGAAACTTAGAAAAATTGTGACCTCTTGTATGTATGTATAGCTCACTGAAAAACATGATATATAGTAATATGTTGTAAATAATTCAAACTTTGAGACAAAGATGGGATGGAATATTATGTTTTTAAAAATACAAAAACTATTTATGTAGTGGGCTTCCTGTGTTTTTATTGCGTGTTTGGTTTAAACACAGTTTACTGTTTAATATAATAATTTATACAAGCTATACATTTTTACACTAGTAACCAACAGAACAAGTCTTCTTGCACACACTATCTAAGATATTAGAATGCAAACAATATATCTGTGAAATATTGGTAATGCTAACTTACACTATTTTATACTTATTCTATTGTTTTGAACAATTTAGTAATTAGTGTTTCACGGATATATTATTTGCACTCTATAGGAATCTTACTTTTAAGATACTGACAGTTACATCTACTGAAATTTTAGGGTTTCATAATCTCATGTATATTAAGCATGGGACTTATCTTAGATTTGTGTGGTTCATTGTAATTAGGCTTTGGGAAAGCCATCTCTTGTTTATCATATGCATGTGTTGTAATGGTGTTTGTACCCAAGCTAGACCAGAATGCACTTCTTGTTGAATTCTGGGAAGACCTAGTTGGCTGGAAATCTAACTTTTTAATTCTGGATAGTCTGACTCATATCCAGAAATGTTAATTATTATCATCGTCATCTTCATTATCTCCATTGCTGGTTTCCATAGCATCCATAGATTCTTCAGCATTTTCAGTAACAGGAGAAAAGTCAAACAAGTCTTGTACTTCTTCCTCTTCATCTTCCCCTTCTTCTGCATCCTCATCTTCTGCATCCTCGTCTTCTCCATCACCAAATGGAAAATCATCATCATCACTATCATTCTCACTATCACTATGCTGGAGGTCTTGGAGTAGGATACTGTCTAAAGTTTCACTTGGTGGTTCCATGGAGAATTCTTCAATTTCTGTTTGCTGTACAGGATAAGTGCCTTTTGACTGTGAGTTTGCAATGCTACGGAAAATGCTCTCGCCATCTTCGTAACCTTCTACATCAATCATTTCTTCATCTTCTCCGACAGCAGGACCTGTGAAAAAGAACTTTCTCTTAGAACAAATACACACAAAAAAGAATCATATATTTTTTTATATATTTAGACATTTTGATGCTTCATGGTTGTTCATCATCATCTATTCTCACAGGACCCTACAAGTCAAACAAGGCCTTCCTCATAGTTCTTGCTATGGTAAATTTATCATGAAAATGTAGCAGACATTCAAGATCATACTTTTATCATTGTTATGTGCTATCCTAGCCTCCAACACAAACGTTCTTAATAATGATAAAAATAATATGACTTCATTTTACAAGGGTCATCACATTGTTATGCCACATTGACTCAAAGAACATGTGCATATGAGGATTACTAGTTTCACTATACTCTAATGCAGTTCATACTACTTTTATACTATACTACTTTTATTCTCAGTACTTTGTTCAAAAGACTTTTGTCCACCTGTTGCATTCTTACCTTGCTTGCCAGAGCGTGAGGTCATTTTAGTAGGTTGAAGATCATCCTTGAACACTATAGAGTCCTCATTAGCATCACTTTGTTCCAGTAGACTGTCTTCTTCTTTGCTTGTATCAGGGAACCCATCCATGCTGTTCTCCATAGATTCCAGTCCAAAGACTGAAGGTGGCTCACTTGCATTGTATGATGAGGCATCATCTTGAATATTTGTTCCAATCTCATTCTCTAGTTTTGTCAACTGCTCTTCATGCTATGAAAGGAAATTACACCAAAAATGTAAACAAGTTTCAAGTTTATGTATGTCATGACTTTATGTATATGCCAGATATTGGATAATGGGGGGGGGGGGGGGGGGGGGGNGGGGGGGGGGGGCAGGAATTTACCATTAGAGGAAGCTCTATGAATAAGAAAAAGACAAAGATAAAAAGGGGGCTGCAACCCCGGAGCCCACCCCTAAATCGGCTCATGACCATCAGTTCTTTATTTTGAGCTTCGAAACCACTAAATATCATAAAATAAAACTTATAGAAGAAAAGATTTAGGTACCTCTTTCATGAAGTCTTCACAAGATTCCACGATTCGTTTAGCTGTTTTAGAAAACTCATGGTGTTCTCCTACAGATAAAAATAATGATTATCGGAATTGGATGGGATAGCATGTAACGTCTTACATTAAATTTTGTCATCCAGAAAGTCTTTAATGACAGCTAATAACATTAATTTTAGATTTGAGAATTTGAATAACTGGATTTGACCTGTTCTCAGAGAACCAATAGAATGCATTCAACTGGTTCTGTTTGAGCCTGTTAATACTCACCATTATAGAGAACACTGTTAGTGAAGAGCAGCTTAACATGCTCCATAAACTCCTCCTGTGTGCGGTACATGCCATCTTGCACTTGCTGTCAGTGAGGAACACAAAAACTTATTTATTTTGCATTATTTACCATATCTAATGTCTTTAGAGTTAGGAATTTAGGGACCTGTTAGGCACCTGGTCTGAAATGGGAAAACATTACGCCCAAGGTAGAGGCATCTATTGGTCTGTCATGCAGGAGGTTGTGATTCATGCCCCGGCTGGCCAGACACTCGGGCCTGTCTTAAAATAACTGATGAGAAAGTGCTGCCTTTGTTATTATTGTACATTGCTTCTGCAAGTATGAGGTTATACCTGTCTTAAGGTCTCAATATCCATGGGGTTCTTCACAACTTCATAGTAGTCAGGTACTTGTTTGCTGTTGACAGGTTTGTGGAATGGCCAGGACTGAAGATAAAACATCAGATGAATGTTTATCATTGGACAATGAATACTTGTGTTTTAGTTTTTAGCGTACTTTTAGAGAGTTTCAAATATTTACCTCAGGAACTGTTTTGATTTGAGCAACAATGTTCTCCAGAATCCATGAAAATGCTGCCTGTAAAATAGAAAATAAGAAGAAGCCTTAGTTTTACCATAGATGAAAGTAGATTTTATACTATGAAACACCACAGCACACATTAAGCTATCAGAGAATGAACGATAACCTATCAGAGAAGGAGCGATCAGGGTCACAGGTTTTTTTTTGCTTTTAAGTGCTACCCTCTTAATAAAAAAGACAGATAAACTTGATAAAACATAATGAATGACACTTAAAGCGGTTGCATAGGAAACCACGAGATAAATGGTTCATAATAAAACTTACTAGTGCATCGTCACCAAGGAGTGGGTTGATCTCCTTTTCAATCTGAACAAACTCGTCTTCTTTCTATAAAATTCAATATTTCTATCAATACCAACCCATCTCAAAAAGTCCATCTTGTGATACAGCTGACATTTCCCTTTCCAAAGTCAGAGGAATCAATGTTTAATTATGAACATTCCTACAAAGATTTTATGAGTCTCCTTTGCAGCCATCTTTCTGCTGGGCCCTCCCCACTAGGGAATGATACTATTGATGGCAGCGAAAGAGACTAAGATATTCTAGGATTCCACCCCGCCCCTAAACCCGGGTCACCAATACATTTGAATTGGCTGGTTTTTAAACAGTATTTCCTTGAACTTTGAAATGGGGAAAGTATTAAAGACAGACCTCATTGATGGACTTGGTGCAAACATCAAGCATCTTCTGTGCAACGCCAGTAAAATTATGTTGAGGACCTACAGAACAGGAAAAGGCATGGTTGGCAATTTAAGCGCAAAACTCTAGGGTATAAATAAAATATAGTGGGGCTACAATTACATTTTTTTAAAGTTCCTAAAGCAATCGGTGAGAAATACGTGACTAATTTCATTCATAAACTGCAAGCACTAGGACGTCATTATTATATTACTCTATAATCAATTAATTCAAAATTTGTCACCTCGTACTGGTATGACATTAAAAACACTGAACAGAGGAGTGACATTACCATTATAGAGCACACTGTTGGACACCAACAGGGAACAGTCTTCAATAAAATCCTCTCTGGATAGATACTTGTGACGCCGAAGATTCTAGATAGACAATCAGGAGAAAGGTTTTGAGTAAAAGTAAGTATAAATTAAAAAAAACTGTCTATGAATGAAGCTAGTGAGCATATTTCCTGATGAACAAATAAATATCATTTGGTTTTGATTTTGATCTATGGAATATTTTGCAAATGCTATGCACTTTTCTATTAAATACCCACTCATAAAATGTTTATAGACATAAACAAATGATGGCAAAAAATCTTGACAATGAAGCAGAAATATCAGTACAGCAAGTACTATTGATCATACCTCTCTCATAGTCTGTAGATCAATGGGATTCTTGACTATCTTATTATAGTCAGGTACAGTCTTGGAAGAGACTGGTGTGTGGAATGGCCAGCTCTAAGGATAAACAGATCATTAACTTTGGTATATTATCTTTAGTTATCTCATAGTGTTAGTGATGGCAAAAAGGGGTTCAACTGGTAAAAGAACTATAACAAATTATTTGATACGGTCAATATCAATATGCTAAAAGGGTTTGGGGTAGCACATCCATGGCTCAAAACAATTTCATCCTCAATTGCAAAATCAAAGCACAAGACTTGTGCAAAAAAATTTTTTTTTTGTCACCTCATCAACTTCCTTCATCTTGTTGAGAATTGGCTCCAGCAGTAACTGCAATGCAACCTGAAAAAAAGACTTGCTTAATTAGGGGATCTTCACTGCAACATTTGAATTTCATTTGAAAATCAAGGCCGATTAAACCTGAAGCAACAGATTGCTTGTGTATGGGGACATTACCTCTGGATTTGCCCTACGTCGATTGATGGATTTATGTGGTCTCTGGAAAAGAAGCCACAAGTTAGTTTCAATTGACTAATTTTATACCAAAATGCAACATTGCAGATGATTTTTAGCACAATCAAGAAAGTCCAGTTACCTTGAGATAGTCACAATGCATAACACCTGACCTGCGCTTCTTGCGGACTAAAAGGTAAATTAAATAAATTATGAGAAATGGTTGAATTTCTGCTGATCAATTATGAAATTGCACATTCAAGGCCATCATTATAACACATTAATATGCCTATGCAGCACGTTTTGCAAATTTGGTGCTCACAAATAATTTGTTCTAATGTTGAAATCATTGCATTAGCCTACCTGATTCCTTGGGGAATCTTAATACCAATGATTTTCTCTTCAGTTCATTTGTTCTAGAAGAAGGATTTGCATAAATCAATGAATAAATAAAAAATGTGATGTGTACTGTGTGCAGTCATAAAACGTTGGGATTGGCAGAATATGAGGTAAAATGATGCATAGTGGAGTGTTCTCGATACTTCTCAAGTGTTCTGTCAATCCCCAAGTGTTTTATAACTTCACGCTGCACAACAAGAAAGACTATGATTTCCTTTACAAAATACAAAAATAATTAGAGTAGCTATTATTTTTGTAATGAATGAAGAAATAGAATAAGTACATTAGTGTGCAGTGTGTTCTCTTAATGCACACGCCCCCAACCAATCAGAACAAGAGATTAATTATAACTTCATGTCAATTTAACTACAAGTTTCTTCATCTAGTAAAGATAAGATAAAAACGATGATGTGAAGGCAAATAATTTGTCTTTCTTTCTTCAACTTACTGGTCTAAGAAGGCCTTTCCTAGTGTGATCTTTGTGCCTTCAACCTTGACAAGGTCATCCTGAGGCATGTTGAATTCCTCTTCTGCTACTTGTTCATCGGTCATGGCAACCGAGACAGACGATGGGTTGGCATCTTGGTACAGAGGACAGTTTTTATTTGTTCGCATATGGCCAATTTCACCACATGCTCCACACTTTAACTACAAAAAAACGAAGTTCATGATCTTGTTAACCAAAACATCCAAATGGGCAAAGTTACTGCTTGTTCTGCACTTTCTCCAAACTTATCATGATTTATGATAAATACAACACATCCAACATTGATTTGTTAAATATGTTGTTATGTTATGTTATGATAATTACCTTGATACTAATACTACTTGGTGGTTTTTCCTTCTTCTTCTTCACTGGTTGCAGTTTCTCTTTCTCTTGGTTTCGGCGGATTCTTCGCAGCTGTTCCTGGATTCTAAAGGTTACCAGAAATATGAAAACGTTTATACTCCATGGTAGAAAATAGCATTGCATACTTGTGTACTCCCTCAAACTTCTTGCTTTTAGCTTTGGTTAATTTTTAACATTGCAGTTATGAATTAAACACAAATTGAACACTCTTTCTTCCACTGTGTTTATTTTACTTGTCTCAAGAATCCTTAGAGTTTGCTAAAATAAGCATTACTTTGTTGTATTCCATATTTCATGCCTTAGCTCTCTCATTTTAGAAACTATGTACTCTAACATTGAAAAAACTTACCTTCGTTTTTCACGTCGGATTTCTTCTTTATGCACTTCATCTACACTTGCAAACTGTGCCCTAAAAATGAAACAAAACATAACACAGTTAGAAGATAAGCAAAACTAACAGGGCTCTCTGCAACACAACACAAGGATGCAGTCTATGAAAACGTACCAGATGGACCTGCAGTGAATTGACTATCACAAGCAGATTTTGTATGACTGTTAAAAAGTATGTAATGAATTGGAATTAGAATTGTAGGACCTGTTACCTGATATTTTTATCTTTGTTAACAATTCTCAAATAAGCATCAATCACAGCCTGGTTCTTGACTACTTCTCTTCGAACAAATTCACGTCCCTCATGACTTTTGAATACACGTTGGATGACAAGTTTACGGCCGACCTAAGGATAAAATTCACCAACCAACAAATCACATCAGTCTAACGATACCATAGATAGACATCGGGGGTAGGGGTAGGTAGGCTATAGCCCCCTAAAAAATATGTATGGTTACGACAATGATATAATGACAAATTCAATCCTTACATTGGAAGATTCATAGCTCATGACAGATGTTGCATCATCGTCTGCCTCAAAGGATTTCCTAAAGCTATCTCTTGACTTGTCTCCTATAGAAAAAGAACAATAAAATTATTGATATATGAAACAATCTATAGGGGTAGTGGAGGAGTGTTGGGAATGCCTTCTCAGATAGCACACAATAAGGCTGGCTACCTCTTTCCATCACCACTGCATTTAAGGGTATAGAATTTCATAACTTACAGGATTAGGATCTTTTGCACATGGCCTGAAAGATGCTAATTTCTACTAACCTGTGTTAGATCTTCCATTCTGGAGAAAAAGTATAAAAGAATAATAAGAACGACAGTCCTCACCCCAAGGTATCCCGTGATATACCACATGTAAGTTTAATTAGAATTCCCTACCATTCAACAGAATACTTAATAGACCCTTTTCGAGTTCCAAATTACCGCTGTGTTTCTTGATTACAGACTCATTTGCTCAGGCTTAGCCTCGATTTTGTGAAGAATATTCACGTGTTCCAGTCAAGGTCCGTCAAGTTTCAAAGTGTTCGACGTATAAGTTGTGCATTCTTTACTTTACTGCTGGTAATTGCGAGTAATTAGACACTGAGTCAAGGCTAAGCCTGAGCAAATGAGTCTGTAATCAGGAAACACAGCAGTAATTTGGAACTCAAAAAGGGTCTATTGAGCTTTTAGTCATCAGCAAGCTACAACAAACTAAAATTTTCATTGAAACTCACCTCTTTAGAATCTTTTGTCTTGTCCTCACTCAACATTTTTTGTAGTTCTCTACGTTCTGCTTCCTCTTCCTCATGTGTTAACTAAGGAACGACAATAACAAAGTGATTTGCACAGGCAACATAACACCAGCCAATGTCAATAGACAATTGCTTATTTATTTTTTTATGTTGAACTAGGATTGCTATGAATACCTGAACAGAAGTCTTTTTATTGGCCAACATGCTCTCTAGATTCTTTCCCAACTCATCCATGTCACTTTCTTCCTCACTGCTGCTTCCCTCATCAGTGGAAAGCTCTTCTTTTGAGGACAAAACTCTAAGAAACCATGAAAAAACTCAAGTTATGTCCACGCTATTTTATGTCCATGTGTAGAATGATCCAGTGCGTAACGAACCTGTTTTGTAGATCAAAGATTCGTTGGCATTCTTCTTTGTATCTTTCCTGGTGTTCTGCAATAGTGAATCTTGAACCACGTGCAAATTTACTCATGCCTGTTGGTATGAGAAACAAATAACTAGGATGAAATGTTGAGATATACTCAAAAACTGTTAGTGTTGAATTACGAATTTGAGAAGGCACTGGAAGAGCACTGCAATTATTGCGATTAAGCAAAAAAAGTGTGCTACTAACACCCCGAATGATGGATCAAAAAAAACTTGCCAGATAAATCAAAATTCATCAATTGAAAGGCACAAAGAGATGGATTAAAAAACCCACAAGATGGATTAAAACAGGCTGTCTAAAGTGAGCAAACTGTGACTTTTAAAACTTAATAATCATAACAGACATGCTGGAATGTGATAGAAGCAGCATTGAAGTTATACCTTCTTCTCCAGACTTGGCTGCTTCTGTAGACATGGTCCTCACCACATCAATAACCTCCCATCTAGACAATTTCTTAATCTAAAGACAGAATAACCAATGTGAGAAAATGGTTGAAGCATGCATATCAACTAAACAACTAGTTTCTTATTGATGTTACCTCTTCATCTGATACTCCAAAGTCTCTGAGAACCTGTCTGGCTTGTTTTAGGGATAGTCTTCTCAAATCTGCATCTGTGCCTGTTACTGTTTTCTGCTTACGTATCTGTGCAGCAGCAGCAGCTGAATCCTCCTGTGTGAATAAACAATACTGCTAAATACCTGGAACAACTACTCTTAAAGAAGCAACATCATTAACATTCTTTTAATTCTAACTAGACATTACAGGAACTTTCTCAATTAGGCTGTGAAGACCTATGCTAGCTGTTTATTAGGTTAGGCTATCCAGTGACCCATAAAGTGGTAAATTAAATTTGAAAATGTATTTTTGAGAATTTTTAAAGGGTATGCACCACCACAGAAAGATGGAATTTCAGGCATGTTTGAGGATACGAAAAATGAAAACTGTTGCAAACAGAACTCAAAAATCTGGAGAAAACTTTGAAGGAGTTTACAGAGTCCAAGAAAATGTTTTCCAAATTCCAGAAGTGTCCTAGGAATGCCAGAACATTAAATTCCTTCTGAGATCAGTATCCAGTATGGAGCACACCTACCTTATTGGCCATTGGTTTGTTAGGAACACGGATGTAGGAGAATCCCTCCCCACACCCAGTAGGGTCGGCACTTCCTGTCACTGCAAGCTGACACTTTCCTCGCATGGCCGAAATGAATGCTCGTGTTGTGTTCCATGGAGCCATTCGAATCTATATTGAAAAAAGAAGACTCAGAATTCTATTGGTATTGATTCAAATTCCATCAATTGTTATTCATATAACTGCAATACTTACCTCGTCATCTATTTTTTGGTCGTTGTCATCATTGTCATCTTCACAAGAAAAAAGTGATTTTTCACCATATCCAGCATCCTAAAATATAATAATTATTATATTACATTTATTATTATATAATAAGATCCATGCTTTATCATATATATTACAGATTTTATCCATGATTTCCCAATATTGTTCTTACTTTAAGCCGTTGTTCAGCAGCCTGCATGCTATAGTATGAGCATGCCTGTTCTGGCGACACCATGGCTCTCATTTCTTCTTCACTAGGTAACCGGAAGTCATTCTTCAGCACCCACCAGTTACAACAGTCACCTGTCAGACAAGAAGGAAAGAAAAGGAATCAGGACAAACACAACCAAGAATCAACCACGACCAATGTTCTTAGCTGTTTTCTTGGGTTTTGCTATAGAGTGGCATAGAGTGTAGAAGGAGGAATGAAACAATGGCATTTTAAAATCTGAGCCTCAACCAACCTCTCTAGTTGCTTATCATAACTACTTACTAAGCTTGTATGGGAGGAAAACGTAGGATGGGAAGAAATACCTGTTCTTTTAAAATCTGCACAAAGTTTGAGTCGTTTACGAATGCTACTTTCTGAATGAGAAGGGAATGCTCTCTTGATGTCATCCATCTTTATACGACGAGGATCATCTTGACTTTTCCAGAATAATCTATAAATAAAGACCTAGAAAAGCAGAAAATAATCTATAATTAATAAAGAAAGATATAAGTGACTTCCATAAGATTGATTTTTTTATGCATGCAATCTAGCAACTAAGTTAAGATATTTAGTTACAAATGAAACCCATTCATCATTATTTTTTAAATCAGGGAAGAAAAAGCAGAGGATTTGAAAGGTGGTCAGTGTACGAACAAATGAAAATTTAGTCTCAGTCATCAGTTTGGAGATTAAAAAATGACTTACTGTAGTTGGCAGCTGTCATTTTGTCAAAAAAATACCTGAAGAAAATCCCTGGCATGGATGTTGGCTTTTTTAGAATTTGGTCCAGGGACTTCAAACTTTGGACACAGTTGACCAATAGAGAAAATGGACTTGACTTCACGAACAAAGTACCTGGAACACAAACAATGTTGGTCTAAATTATTGCAGGGTTTGAAAATCTAGCTTTACAACTAAATGACTACACTATTTATAAAATAGAAGGTGACACTTGAGAGTCTAAACTAAGGTATTTGTGGCATGTAGAGTAAGAGAACCTACCCGGTTGCTGTCCTGATGATCAGGAAATCTGTGGTTGGCAGGATGTGTTCGTAAATTGGCACACGAAACAAGTTGTTCTCAAGAGCCTATCAACAAAAACAGAAGCAGCTTCATTATGAATGATCAGTGAATTCATTGGAACCATAAACAGGGCTCCTTATCCCCCAGTCTCCTTTCCTCTGCACCCCTTCCTTGACTAAAGGGATTCCATTCTTATTGACATATATAGACTGTGAGTAATGGCTTGACAAGACAAACCACAAATAAGGGTCTCTGGTTCCTTCTCTGCTCTACTTGAGTCCTCTCCTTAGACCTGCACTGACATGTAGGCTAAAGAGTTCCTATTTATTACTTTTTACAATAAAACTGAGAGATGCAGACCTGCAAAGACTCTCCAGGCTTGATGTGGCCTAAGAATGGTGACATATTGTACACAGGAACAGGTTCACCATATGTATAACTTGGAACACTGTCATCTTTACCTGGTCTCTGTTGAATGAAAATAAAATAATGAAATATAAAATTTTATTAGCAAACGTTCAAGGGCGGATCCAGGGGGAGGGTCGGGGGGTTGCGGCCCCCCGTCATTCCTGAGGTCAAATGGGCTTCCTGTGGTAAAAATGCGACTGGGATTCCTTTGCCCACAAAATTTACCCCTGAGACCCCCCCTTCAAAAAACCCTGGATCCGCCCTTGACGTTGTTAGCAATAAAGCAGTGGTTTGAAGCAGCAGTGACACACTGCATTAGTAGCAGTAGCAGCAACAGCAGTAGTAGTAGGAGAGGAGCAATAGAAGTAGGGCTGAGGTTAGAGGCAGAAGAAGGAAAAGCAGCAGTGGTAGCAGCAGCAGCAGCAGAAGTACCAAGACAGCAGTAGTAGCAGCAACAACAGATAGTTGCGACAGCGGAAGAGTTAATAACCTGCACTAACCCAAAATATGTGAAAGACAAGGTGCTATAACATTATTTAGTACTCACCCTCTTGTAATAGTTTCTTATTCTGGTGTTCATACCAACGGCCATGATTAATGCTGGATGTTCTTCACTGTATTCAAACAAGACAAGCTCTCCATCCATTCCCGTCAAGTCTGCTGGTGTTCTCATGAAGAACATTTCACCTCCACCAGATGCTAGACGTTCCTTTTCGCGTTCCTTCAAGAATAATTTTAAGAACAAACAAATCAGTGAGAGGCAAGTTTACTACAGCTATTACACCTTGATGTCAGACTTACCCTGGCTTTTTTCTTGATATGTTTCAACAGTCCATGCACAAAATGTCGGCCAGGTTTTGCAAGTGGTCCACTGTAAGCTTTTTTCAGCGGAGGTTTATGGAAGTTTCTAAGATCTTGAACTGACATGTATGTTGGGAAGTATGGTCGTTGAAGCTCAATTGCTGGTAAAGAGTGCTGCAAAATTACAACAGCATGTTAGTCCCATCACATGGAAGAAAATTGGGCTTGCATAAAGAATTTTTGTATAATCCTTACTTGTACAAGGTTAGAACCCATTTTGGCTTCAAGAGAACTTTCAACATTTGCTGCAATGAAGATTAGAATAGGAAAGAGTAAATATTAAACAATATGGAAAATCATTAGACAAAATTATTATTAAATCCTTAGGATATTAATTAACAGCATTGGGCAATCAAGTACGCAGACTTGAAAAACATGCTCATGTAAATTTGCAGAGGACAAAAACTATATAACCTGGAGAAAACCCTCAAGATACAAAGAGAAATGACAAGTGACAATGGGTGTAAGTGTTGATGAGCTGCAATAATTATAAATTCAATTATTAGGCAGGTGATTGTACTTACTGTGTTTTGCACTGTAGTACCGGTCATTAGAAAGATTGAATTTATCAATTTTTTCATCTTTGCGCTCATCCTTTAAATGGTACAAAAGAAAACACCATTAATCACAACAATATCCCCAGAGTCATATTTCATTTGAAATAGTCATTCTGTGCTCATACAATTTCATCTTCTTCATTTTTGTTATTATTCTTTCCCAGTAATAACTTTGACTTCTTTGCTTCCTTTAAAAAGAGAAATAAAATAAGTCATTGTCAAGCAAAATATGATAGTTTTTTCTCATGTAGCCTCTTATCAAAGTGCTTGATGATGAGGTTAAGGGGGTTTAAACTAAGGCTGCTTTTATTCTCATGGGAATAAATATGGCTACCCCTTTAAAGAGGTCCATGCTTTTGTACACTTTATAATGTAAAGCCTAACTTTATTTTATGCATACATTTGCAGGCATACTGTATATATATATATATGTATGTACTTTGATCCAGGCCGGAGGAAATGTGTTTTTATATCAGTGATTTTAAACAAGATATCGAGTGCAGCTGGAAAACATCTAATGTCATTTTCTCATGTCACCGGCATACATGTACCTTCTTTGGGGTGCTAGATGCTTCAGCTCTTTTCTCCTCAGGATCACAGTCCTCTGGGATTCCCAGGATAATGTTTTCATCATTTGGATCCAATTGCATCACAGATGGTGAAGGCAAAGATGGCATAGCCTGCATAGCACAAAGAAAGGCATCCAAGCAAATTTAATTTTGTAACTTAATACAATGCCATTTTTAAACAGCTAGTCTCTTACTGTTAAGTCTCACACAAGAAAAGGTAGTTGTGGTTCAAAATTACTTTTATACCAAGCCCATCACCAGAGGTGACCAATCCCCTCCCACTCTCCTGGGTCCAAGGGTGGCAGGCACAAGGCACAAAGAACCCCCCCCCCCACTTCTAGAAACCTGGGCACAGTTGTTTGAAGACTGGATATGAGCACATAAATCTTATCCAGTGGATAAATTTACAGGATAACATTGACATGCACTAAATGGGGATTTCTTTGTTGATAGCCCTGTAAACATCATACAATGTGTTTGGGATGTAAAAGTGAATTACAAACTGAATGACACACCTCAGCATCCCAAATGATCTTGTCTTCCCAGTTACTGTTCACCAAGCTGTCATTCTCCACAGGGAAAATTGAGTACCACTTGCCAGATGACTTTTTCGTTGAAGATGAAGCACTACCACTACTACTATTTAAAGAACTAGAGGATGTTGGATTGCCCTGGTTGTTCTTGATGGCTTCTCCAGTATTTTTGAAGAAGGTTTCAAGTCCTGGATGCTTTAATCCTGATTTAGGGAAACCATATAGATTCCGTAAGAGTAGTTACTTAAATTCTACACCTATGTGCACTTACTCTGCGCATCACCACGAATGGTCATTATTGGAAACCTGTATTTTTTTTAAATCAGAAACTAATTTAATAGAGCTGTTAAGTGACCACAAGTTTATCAGTTTAATTACTGTCAAGTGTCATCCTATATAAACAAAGTTGATCTAATTTATTTTTAGTTGACTTCAGAAAGCTGTTGTTAGCAATGACAGAGGTGTCTAAAACATCAACTTCAGAGTCTATACAGTGGGTAGTGTTTATATTCAAGGAAGTTAAGTGTTATTAAAATTCGAATTCTGCAAATGTGAAGGTTACCTAGTTGGTTGAATAGTGTTTGTTGTTGGCTTGCATAAGCATGTGCTGTTCTGGTCAAAGCTGTGGGGATCCAGCCTGCACGAGCCATGGCCTGGAGGTTGGGTTTGACTTCTTCTGGAGACCAAATGATGTCATCTTCCCAATTAACTTGTGAAACCATGTGAAAACAATCATCTGGGATGTAGGAAGGAGATGTATTCCCAAAATCTTCTTCAGGATTCTACAAGGAGAGAAAAATCTTGAAACATATAATATCTTACCTTATTGAATGTTTAAAATGTTTTAAAGGTTTTTAAGGTGGAGAAAAAGCATTAACAGTGGTAAGAAAAGCATCACCATCATCTGTATTTACCATCAGCACAGGCCTTTTATTGCCATACACATTATCCACACCTACTATATCAACATTAATATTATCCACACCTAACATCATCATCATCATGTACCACTACCACCACCATCATTATAAAAATACCATGTATCTATTTTATGTCAGAATTGCTATTATGGTCTCTACGAGTATGTTTTGCATTAGGCAAGCCTACTCTGGTATACTTGATTATAAATTCCAAGGTATCACTAGAATATACTTTACCTCCTTGACTTTGAATCCATAGTCTAAATCACTACCATCCTCGTTCACTCCAAGCATTTCGTACCACAGTGCCGCAGGTCCATATCTCCATGCCAATAACTTCTTTTTATTCTGCTGCTCATTAGAAGCATCTGATGTTAAATCTAAGTTGCTTTCTTGTTCCTCCACTTTTGGTTTCCATGGCGCCATCAACTTGTCCTGAAGACAAAATAAGGGATCCAACAATATAGCCATGTAGTACAAAGAATACTACTGTACTTGATGCATATACTAAATCTGCATTCTATTGGACTATGCCAATCTGGCATTCTATTGATGACAGGTATATTAGTGAAAGTCATACAATTTCAGCCATAAAAGCTATAGAAAATATACCTCATCGTCAGACAAGCAGTCTTCTTTGCGAGGTAGAGGTGGAGAAAGTGGAGGCTGAAGAGCTACACCTTCATCTTCTTGCTTCTTCTTTTTCTTCCTTCTTCGTTTGGCATTGCGCCACTGTTGGGGTAGTGACTTTCCTGGTCCAAACAGACGAGAAAATCTTAACACTTTTCCAGGTTTGAATTCAGGGAAAAGCTCTGTAACTGTTTGACCACTTGATGTCCTTGGCAAATTGTCTTCTTCTTTATTACCTGGTAAATAAAGAATATGATATCATCAATATTAATATAATAAATTTAAAAAATACAAAGAACTAGAATAAAAAATATAAATCAAAAAATGGAACACTTGATTCATTGACCTATTTCTATATTTAACCATCATTCAGTGGATATCTGGCTAAAATTGGTGCTTGTCTGGTTTCATGATGATCAGTTCAATATAGTGATCATGTCTGGCCAATGAGCAGCAGTTTTAACCCTAGTAGCTAGCCTGATGGACCATAATAGACTTACACACTGAGACTGCTGGTTGAATGGAAGGATCAGGAGGAGGAGGCATAGCAAGCCTGTCTTGTTCCTCCTTGGAAAGAGTACTTGCAGCAGGAGCAACAGTAGGTAGGATAAGTGAATCACCTATGCATCAAAACCACAATATCAATAAAACATCAATGCTGTACATCTGACATATTAGGGGACTTAAGATTTGCAACATCAACTGGAAGTGTAAATAATTTCTCTATGGGGTTCTGCTCACTAGAGATTTCATTCAAAACATTGTCAGTAAAGTCAAACCATCCACGACAGGGAAGACAGACTTTGAAGGCACAAAATCCCAAAGTGAAGTTATTCACACATCTCTGTCATATATCTTGCAAATCTTAAGTCCCTTATTAATTATAACATGTAGAAGAATGGCTTGATAGTTCATAAAAATAAACTCTCAAATATAAAATTCAAAACAAAATCAAAAACTACATTTTCTTCTTACCTTTCTTATCATTTTGCCCTTCATCATCACTTTCATCATAATCATCATCAGAATCTTCTGCTAATATTATTGATACAATAATTACTGATTACATAATTGGTCTATATGTCTGTCTGGCAGTTTATTTGTTTCAATGGGTTGTCTATATATGGCAAGTGATTACCTGTTAAACCATGTCCAGTCCCCCATAACTGAATTAATGAATAGGTTCTAAATCCTCAGCTTTGTACTAGTTACCTTTGCTTTGAGGTCTAATAAGGTTATAAGCAATATTAGTCTGTGGGTAAGTTTTTCCTTCCTCCTCATCAGCTAACTCATTTATGTCACTGAAATCTCTGGCATCCGAATCTTTTTGGATCCAAGCTAAATGGAGAAAAATAATGATAATAATACACAGATCCTTGAATCTAGTTAATCTGAGTGTTAAGCTTATTAATATCTAAAGGGGGGTATATACTGTAGGTATGGTAGGCAAGTGAAAACTTAGCTGAAAGCAAAGTTAATATACATTGCAAGTATATTACATTAATTAGTTTACAGTGCTAAAAATAGTGTGCACAATGTCTAGCCAAGATTGTCACTTAAACACTGAACCAAAATACGCCAACCAGTTTGAATTACTATTGTTTTTGGCCCCATTGTACAAAGTATGGATGGTGCTATCCGATGGATAAATCCTCATCCAGTGGATAAGTCGATGCTGATATCCAATAGATTTATCCACTGGATAAGATTTATCCCTCGGATAGCACTATTCACCCTTTGTACAACTGGGCCCTGGACTGACTAGCATTGTGTTCATGTGGAAACATAAAAGCGTTTCGAGTGTATGTGAGGCTAGTCAGTCCAGAACAATACAGTTATTTAAATTGATCGCAATATTTCAATTTGGTGTATAGGACCAAACATTTCTTAGGTACATTGACTTGCCACATGATGATCAGTCCAATTTGCTAGTCATTATGTCAAGTTATTGAGCATTTTCCAAACAGACAGTTGATGGTAGAGTGATTTTTAAGTAATACAGTGTAAACGACGATGGTTTTACACATTTTTTACCAGAATCCCTGTCTCCTGAAGATTCATCTGGTAACCTGTCTTCATCAGTAATGTCCTTGACCAAGCTTCCCATTCCAATTAAGCAGCTTAGCTGACCCAAGTGCTTCCTGGATTCCTGATCAAAAGAAAAGTTACGAGCTCAATAATCATGGAAAGAGATGGTTACAAAGAACGACAACAAAATACATTGAAAACATATTGAGAAAAGCTAGTTTTGTGGCCATTATCAGCGGCTTTTAAATTTGCAAAGGAGAAATGGCACATTTTGAGGAAATCTATAAAAGAAATTGAACATGAGGGGTAAGTTCTGTAGGTGAGGCTGCATGATCACAGCTGATCTCTATACATTGATCGTGCTAACTTATTTTGTAAACATCAACGATCAACAAGCCAAATCATAAAAAAATCTAATACTCATGAAAAACACATTCAATAGATTTAAGGTTAAATACAATAGCTACACGCTCAAATACAGTGAATTAATATTGAACACCAGCAAGCATAGATTGTTTTCGTATTGAATGTGCTGTTTACAACAATGACATTTTATTAGCTAGTAGATCCCTCAAAGGTGTTATCTTTGCGCTATTACTCCGACTTGGTCCATTCCTTACCTCATCTAAAATATCATCGTCTTCTAGTTCCCCTCTTTCGTTGATGTTTCCAAACAAAAACCCGGTCAAGTTAATAGAGCCTTCTTCATCAGAGTCCGCCATCTTGGAATGACGACCAACAATGAAATCAATCTATAAGTGGGCTTCCTGTGGTGTGACCAATGCCCGCGAGATCTAAGGTCAGCGTTTTCTTTGTTGTTGTTATGGTTACAAACTTAGTTCGTATCGAAGGAGAAGAGAAAAGCTTCGGTTTCTGTATATATCTCTTTTTATTCCTCTTATTTTGGTACTTAAAACCTCCTATTTACGGAAATGTCTGCTAAAGACGAAGGAGAAGCTGTCGTAGGAGAAAAGGAGGGTGAAACAGTTAAAGAAAAAAGTGAGGAGAATAACGAAAACGAAGATGTAAAAGATGAAGAAGGTTCTGAGGAAAAAGGTGAACAGAATGACGAGCAAAACGACGAAGTAAATATAGAAAAACAACAAGAAAATACAAATCCCGACGAGGTGAAAGAAGAGGATGATGAGGCACAGACAGCACTTCTGCCAAAATCCGATGAACCTATAGAACAGACGGAAACTTCAGCTCAAACCGATGGTAAAATTACACCTGATAAAGCAAGTGAAGTAACAAGTCAGTCGAAAGAGGCTGCATCGATGGCAACAGCGTCTGTCAGTGAACCTAATTTAGTAGCGCCACCGGCTTCTCAGATCGATTTGTCGTCTTCTGCCGCCGAAGGAGGGACTAAGAAGCCTGTAGAAAGCCATGATATCAAAGGTACGTACATGCCTAGCTACGTCGTAAATGCATAAACTCTTTTGAGCTTCGCAGGGATTTAAATGGTTTTTAATTGTTCTTTTTAGTGAAATTTGTGATAATGCCAGAGGGTGAGATCATTAACATGACTTGTAATACCAAGCAGACTATATTAGACCTGAGGAAACATTTATCATCAGAGGTTGGACAGCCAGCAGACATAATACTTATGATGCATGAAGGTACAGTAAATACTCAAAGAAAAAATCAACTCTGCCTCTTCTCAATCCTCAGAACACTGTTGAGTATTTGGTGTCAAATTTTAGTGCAGGAGACAGGGTGATAAATAATTATTGTAAGGGAGCATTAAGTGGGCAAATATGCTGGCACAGCTATTCCTCCTGCCCCTCCCCTTCTAAAAAAGCGAATGCTCCCTAACAGATTTTTGCCTGATAATCTACGAGAAATCAAACTTGTTTGGATGCAAGGGTTCTTGTTGTTTGTCTGCCCCCCAAAAAACAGTGACTTGTGACTTGTTTGTATGACAAGCGCACCTGAACACTGGTGCTGAATTTTCAAAACAAGCTGTCTCCATGACGTATTCAAAACTAATAATTCTTATCTTTAATAGACAAATTGCTGGATGATACTGGACTACTTTCTGACTTGGGTGCTCAACTTGGGCAGACATTACAAATAGAGCTGCAATCTAGTGATCCCATCAACAACCCTCTACGAGTTAAGCCAGCTGCCAAGACGCCAACCAAATTACCACCTGTCATTAACGTAAAGGCTGAAAGTAGTAAGTAAACAATCTTAACAATATTTAAATATTTCTGGATATCAATTTTAACTTCATTAATAAGAATTTCTGGTTTGAACTTGGTATTTAGTTTTATCTTTATAAATCGTCCTGGTTGCACTTATAGCCAGTGGTTAACCAAACCTGTGGCCCTCATTTCACAAGGAAAGGAGGAAAGCATTATAATTTCTGGGAGGAAAACTTGCCAGCTTTCATTTCATATTGCCTTGTACAATATTGAGTTTCTGTTTTTGTTGTAGATGGTAAACCAGTAGAAATCAAAGTACATATTGTCCAAGAAGACAGAAAAAAGCCATTCATTGGGGGCTACAAACATAGGCTGACAGGCACAGAATATCATAATGCAACTGCTCAGACAGTACCTAAGATAAGAGTTCCATCACCAGTTGAATGTTTCCATCGAGACACCCAGACATACAAAATGAGGAACAGACTTCAACAGACAACAAATACAACCTCTACACAGATGGTAAGTCTAGATCAGATTTAGTATGGTTTAAAAATAATATGGCAAACTTGCAGTCCTACTGTAACTGCTACCTATGAATTTCGATGAAGCCATTGTGATTGCTGAGATCCATCCAGCAATAATGAGAATCATATACATTGTGACAAATTAAATACCTATTCCCCTTTGTTTTGACCATGTACTAGAATGATGAATAATGAGCATTTATGTACCAATGATATTACAGTGAAGACACTTGAATCATGAACACTTGACTTTATTCAGACTTTTATTTTCTGAGCTTTTTACTGCTTCAAACCCTCTAAAAAAGTAGGATTGAACTCAAATATGCTRTGTGRTCMAAAGACAACTTATTTCTAAATGATTCACTCAAGGGATGCATGTTAAAAAAAGTAGTAAAAAAGCACAAAGTGTTCATGKTTADAGTGTCCTCACTGTTAGACTTAGTCTGATATGAAATCTCATTCCTGAATGATTTTCTTTTTTCTAGACAAAGGATGGTTGTTATGTTTCTAATATTACAGACAAGGTTGTTATCCCAGGAAAATATGAAACAGCAGAAGACTACCATAATAAGAGACTGGAAAAGGTTGGTGTTAAAACAATCTTTAAATCAGGATTAAAACACTGTTATGATCAGATATTGAAATGGGCAGCATGCAATGATACAGCGTTGTCTCTCTCACTGTTAGGGTGTTCACACCTGGGGTCGGAAGGCTAGATTTCCAGCTGAGCCACAAGTTTATCTCAATAAAGGGCAGCAATGTTTTACCAGTACAATAATCTCTGTCTCTTTCCCTCTCATTAGTATTTAATAATTTTTATGGTATTCTTTGCTTTTTATTTCAGGTGATTATCCTGCAGACATACTGGAGAAGGTGGCTGGCAATAAAATATGTACAGAACCTTAAAAGAGACCAACATATAAGGCAAGAATGGGAAAGACAAGAAGAAATAAGAAAACAAAAAGAAAAAGCCGAAAGAATAAGAAAGGAATGGGACAGAAGGTTAAATCCTAAAACCAAAGAAGATTTTGATCTTTTGTACGCACATCTGGAAAGTAAGTCGTTCTGCATAATACTGCAGGATTATTAAGACTGATCAGTAAGGTAACTAAATCATCATTCTTTGTGTTGGTAGAATGGCGCCTAGAAGAAATTGAAAGGATTGAACAGTTGTACTCTGGTCCAGAGCGCAAAGCTGCTTTAATTGGCCTGGTTGAGCAAGAAGCCTATCTTATTGCATCCATTGACAGACACAAGATTGCTGCAAGTAATGAGAACATGGACAAGAAAGTCAAGTCATTTCTTGATAAGGTAGTTATATAGCTATGCTTTCACTTGAGGTGTCACTAGTTTCAACCAGTCCTCCCATTTATTTATTTATCCATGCTTTTGTCATCCATTCTTCCTTTCATCCTTCCATCTCTCCATTAATCTGTTCTTCAATCCATTCATTTGTTTTTCCATCTATCCAACCATTTTTACATCCATCTATTTTTCCATCACTAACCCACTCATCCATCGTATATATTGTTCCACACTGGCATCCATTTATTTTTTTATCCATTCATCTCCCCTTCCATCTGTTTTTCCATCTATCCAAACACTTTTCCATCCATCTATTCTTCTATCACGAACCCACCCATATACTTATCCATCGTATTCATTGTTTCATACTAACATCCATCTAATTGTTTGCCTTAAGGCTGCAGCACCTAAGAGATGGAGAGCATTTGATGGCAAGATCACAGAGATGGACACACCCTACACTATCCGAGCACAGGAACTAAGAGACATTTACAATACATTGTGTATGAAGTATCTAACACAAGATGAACGGCTGGATGTACTCTTAACACTTAAACACACAGTAAAGGAGCATGATTGTAAGCTTACCCATGAGATCGTTGAGCTGATTGATAGAGAAGCTGATCTATTGATGAGAGGAGTCAAAGAAAACAATCTGGAAGGTGAGATTAACAGTACAATATGCAGTAAATACAGGCTGCACTGTTTCTCAAGGTTGCATGCACATCCAAATTTAAGGAACTTGGCGGGCCAAGATACCAGAACAGGAGCTTTATAATGAGAATTATTAATGCATTTCTATTAGATTTTTCTCAATAAGAATTTATCAAACCGATTCTTCTCTTTAAATATAAAACTGGCTTCTCAATTATACTAAATTTTCGTTTTTCAGTCTTATGGTCCGTCAAGTAGGATGCGCACGCATTTGTCTATTTCTTTGTTGTTGTTTTCCTTTTTTTTAAATGCACGGTTTGAAACTCTAATTACTATGTCTATTTCTTTCCTTCAAGGTCTCCGTAAGAGAATCTCTACTTTGTTCTTACAATACTGCAAGACACCACTGTTTAACCCTGAGGCTGCACGTTTGATCAAGGTGAGATACCCTTTACTGTTAGACATTAGTTAGACTGTTAAACCATGTTAGACAAAGATGATAAATGAAATGAGACCCAATTGTTGTATTCTTGATTTCCCAGGTACCTCAAGATCCAACTGTCCTGAGAAAAAATATTTACTTCTGTCCAAGCTGTAACCGGTATCTCCCATCAACTGAGTTTAAGTTGTCACTTACCTCCAGGTAATTCAAGGCTATACATACATATATATATGTTGAAGAAATAGAAAATGTGCGCATGTGCTGTGTGCAGTTGTAACGCAGGCAGCAGGGGTTGTCAGAACACAAGAGAAGTGTTAGGAGAAGCACGACACGTAGCGAACCGACACTTCTTGAGTTTTCTGCCAATCCCCAAGTTTTTTTATTTCTTTTATAAAATACAAATTAAAATGACCGATATTTTAGATGCTGTGTGCTCTTATAAAGCACGTACTCCCAACCAATCAGAATGCGACCGATTGATAACAGTAATGAATAAATAAAGTTCAAACCGCAACCAACGCGGAGAGGCCCTGCCATTTTCCCCCATCCCATTATTAACGAAAAATATCTTTGACTCTAGTGTCGTAGGGCGTTGCCGAAAGTGCATTAAACTTGACAATGATGCTCGTCTGCGTCAGGACTTGTTACAATACAAGAATATGTTGAGGGGGCTACGGCGTGTTGAAGAAGACTTTGAGGATGGATCTCAAATCGCTTATCTCATCCAGGTTTGTCTGACACCTAATATTAACAWTGATCACAAAGAATATGCTCATGAAATCCCTACTGATCGGCCTTCAAAGGTATCTTCGCTTAGTGTTAATTCAGTATCTGGATCGCCCTTTGACGTCCTCTTGTATCAATGTAGTGTCTGAACTTCTTGACGTGTAATAAAAACCACCCCATTGAACGTCCAATCATAGAAGTATTTTTCCACCGTTCGCATAAATGGATCCACCTAAGGACAATAATATTAGTAATACTGAACTTACTCTTCCCGTTACAGGAACCAGACCTACGATATTTAGTTGAGAATATCTGGAATTCCCAGAGTGCGTTGAGTGCACATGATGACTTGTTTGATCTGGTTCTGGTTCGATGGAATAAACACGAGGAATGGTCACCATGGAACTGCATTCTACTAACGAAAGAAGAGGCTAAAGCTCACAGCAAACTAGACAATGTTACTGAGGTAATATGCTTGCATTAAGGATATTCCTTAGTCCCATAAGTATTGAAGATGCGAGAGAAGTTGTGATATGCTCCTTTCAAAAACCAGCTATAGTTTTTATTTACGCCTATTTATTGTTTTCGCCCTTACAAATGCCTTCCTTTCTCTCCCTAAAGCGTTTTTACTAATACGATACTAATCTCCCCAGGCTTATGGTCGCATGTTTATTGGAAAGATTCTTCACAAGCATTTATTGGCCAGGAACTACTTCTCTAGACTTCCTGGAATGGCTGAACGGATGAAGAGTAAAATATCTCCACAGTCGGCCGGAGCGACTAAAGGACCCCAGACTGTGTACTGATATAAATATATATTCATTATTTGTATAAATAATATGCAATAGAATACACGCCGTGCCGTTCATGGCATTTTTAATGTAAATAGGTATTTTGAAAATAAATTTCATTTCCTTGTATCACTATCTCAAATAATCGTTCTTAACACATCTGTGCCAAGAATTGTCATCGTAAAATCTGATCCCGTGCAAGGATCCGAATTTATAGAGCACGACCTCTTTAAAAACATTCTCTCACAAAAAGAGGGTAGAGAAGCTTCCCTCTTCTGTGGATAGATCTCTGATGGATTCAGGTCATGCACTGATCATTCCTGTAGTGATGTCGACACAACAGGAATAAAAGATTGCAACTGGAATGCTTGTCATTTCAGTCCTTTAAAAAAAGTGTTTTTCTTTTGGTGACTTCAAAGAAAAAGGACTGCATGATTTTACCCAAGTACCTCGCACGGCAAAATAGGATGATGGGCGTGAAAGCTCTGAATGCAGCAAATGCAGAATTTTTTTTGGAGGGAGTGATATAAGCCACGTATGAACTTCCAGTCCCAATAGAAACTCGATTTTTCGCAATCACGCCGAAAGCACGCACCTATCGGTAATATGATATTTGGGCTGCCTGTGTCATCTCAGTTTTGCATGCAGGGCGCCATTTTTGAATGCCTCGGACGTCGGGAATTCGCACAGAGAAACAAAAACAAACTCTAAACCAACTCCTTTTGGTGACCTTATTGCGCTTTAACAATAACAATATTACTTTATTATTGGATCAGAGCGGATCATAAGTAATGGAAGGACGTGTTGGATGTTAAAAAGAGCTAAAAGGTTTCAAGCTAAAAGGTTTCAGAAGATTTTATAGTTCAATGGCAGCCAACTAGAGATCATAGGCGCCTGACCAACCAAAACTGCACCAATAAAGCAGGTAAGCAAAAATTATAGAACTGGAGGAAAACGCCATATTCTTAAAAATGTCATAATTGCCTTAATTTTATTTGAAAAAGCCTTAAAATAACGCCGAATGTGAAGTCTAAACTAATAAACATGGCCGCCATAAAGCCAGATTTCTCAAGGTGGTTGACGTGAAAGAATTCAAATGGTCTTAAGAACAGCTAGTTACCCATCTTTGAATGAAGTTGAAGATTATTTTATAAATTATGAATCCTTTGTTATCATAGTCGTATTAACATGTTTAATTTAGTTAATATTTTCGTTACTGATTGCTTTTGCCTTACCGTCATTAGTAGCAGTCGCATAGCAATGGGTGGTCAAAAAGGATCTAGACTTTCCTAAATTGTCAAATAATGTCAAATAAAAGCAATATCTTGTTTTATGTCGTCACCAGAAAGAAATTTCCGCTCGTCTTTTTTTTTTTCTCCCATCTTTAATGGAATATTTTCAGGGGCGGCGGAAGCTAAAAATCTTTGGGGGGACACTGAAGATTATATTTAACGCTATGTGTTAATGACAATGTTTTGTTTGATTGTAGACGCATGTGCCGTAAAACAATGACTAAGGATCAATATTTATTGGGGGGCCAGGCCCCCCCAAAAAATTTGGTGGGGGGCAGGTGCCCCCCCCCCGGCCCCCCCGGTTCCGCCGCCCCTGATTTTATTTCCTCGTCATATATCGACGTTCATTAGCTCGATTCTTCCTTATTGTTAAAACTCAATTTAAAGACACCCGGTCATTCGTTAACAGATAATCAATCAGGCAATTTGTTGCCATATGAGTCGATGGAGGTCATTAGTATTTATTTTTCTATTGGTATACTAGCTTTCCTTGTATTTTTTTCCCTGGTAGGAAATTTGATGGGAACTAGATAGAAAGAGCTAACTTTAGTGCCTTGCAACACCAAGTAAGAGCCGGTACTTCACGAATAAGATCAGTCTTACTTTCTCCTCTTTAATATTTAGGCCGGAAAAATGAATATTTACTCATAAAATCCCCGTTTTTAGAGAATTATTGCGCATACTATGCAATTAGTTTTATTTTCATTATGACAAAAACAGGGATTGGTTAAATATATTTTTTGCATAGTTTATTGAACAAATTTGTTCCTTTGACAAAATTCCAATTGAATAAAGCAAGTGGAAAAGTACCACGTGTTGAATGTTTTAGTACAAGTATAGGTTTATTATCATTACTAAATCAAAGCTGCAGGATTATTTCCCGATTTATTTTCGACCTTTCTAATTTATTAGTATTTGGTTGAAGGGCTGATGCAATCTTGGACTTGACTGAAGTCGCTCCCTGCGTTAGCAACACACTGTTCCAGTCCATCAAGCTGTGTACGAATCTAAAAATAGATATATGTATACTTAAAACTATAAGTCATCCCACTGAGTCCCCTTTCCCCAAAGAGGGGGGATTGGTTACCCCACACAGACCTACCCTGAAGGGGTAAGGCCAAACTACTAACCTTTTGCATACATCCGTTTAGAAACTGAGCAAAGCACCTTTTAACTCCTGCCTTATCAGCTGCGTTCTGCCTGCATGCCGCGAAGAACGGTTTGCAGATCTAGGGGAAGAAAACCATTAAAAACAAACTTAGCAAAAGAAAAATACATCACTGATTTATTTTACATTAATATCCATAGTTATCATTTCCAGTATTACGGACAATAACTGGAACGCATTCAGGGTAGCAGGACTCCGGCCTCTTTTATCTGCATTTTCTCTTTTATAGGATCCTAGATTCTTGTTTTCTTGACCAATCAGAGAAGCCACTAAGACAACCATTTTGCTTGAAAGGATTTTTCTGCCATCCCGACTTGGAACAACCGACATGAGGCAGTTAAAATTGCCGTTTATTGTTTTCTTCTAATTCTTTCAAACACTAAAGCTATAGCTTATTTTTCCCCATACACTAAGCTTCGTTCAGCCTTTTGTCGCTCACCCTAAACATTTAGCCTTATATTTTTATTCAAGAAAGCATACTTATTTATGATCATTTGCTTTTTTACATTTCTGTTAAAATCTTAATCCTTTTTGATCCTATAAACATATAATTGCCATTGGTAATCTTTTAAAAGCTAGAGAGAGATGATTTATTTAACAGGATTTCGCTTTGACCATCAGTTCTTCGCACCGACAAGAACAGAAATGAATTAGTAATTTTCTCGCATTTCAGATTTTCAAATGAAACAAACAAAGATTCTTAACAAAATGTTAGTTAATAGATCTAAGTAGTACTAATGTATCGGTTTTTAAAAATTATTAAACTCGTACAATATTAACACATGGGAAAAAAATAGGTTACTTTAATGATTAAAATTTTTTTTCTAATACTGAACTTAAAAAGCCTTAAAAAGTGAATGTTTCATGAACTTCGTGCAATCTTGCTGATTATAGTCCAAACGAATAGGAAATTCTATGCTGTACTAAATAGTTTCCAATATGCTTTTCAGTGTCTGCTAATTGTAAGGAATAAGTATTTACATGAACATACCTGGGCAGCTAGTTTGTTTGAATGTGTTGCAACATACGGTGATTTAGTCTTCACTGTCCGTTCTCGTTCCTCTTGATGATCGAGGCGATCTAAATCTTCCTGGATGCCATAACCATCAACTGCCAAGGCCAGTACCAGGCATGTAAGAACAACAACAACAAGGATCTTCATCTTCAACTAGAAATTAAGATAACCAGTTCTCTTTTAGTCAAGGCGAAGTACTGTAGACACTGTTGCACCTAAATAACGACGAGTAGTAAAACTTGAATACTTATGTACAAAGTATCCAATCAGAGTTACAAATGTCCTTTGACTTATTTATCATAGTTCCTAGCCCTTAATTTCCCAATTTCCTTCAATCTCAATCCTCAGATAACAGTATATGAATAAATAATGGCATCAAAATACCGCAACTAGCTATCATTCGCCAGTCATTTCTTTTACGAACTTGTCGCTTTATCAACACTAACGACATGAGCTAATAACAAACTTCGTGGAAAAAGGGTTTTGTTTCCCATGAGCGAAAAATTCAATCGAGGTATTCATATCTGTTAAGCACTGTAAGGACCTGGCTAGACAACGCCTCGTGTGAGTAAATTTATACCCGTTCTCATAGCCTAGAAATGAGAGGTTAATAGGAAGCATTATCACACAGTACGATACAACACCACAATATGTACTATGTTCAATTATGGATGATACTATGGCTCTATAGGTGGGGCTAAAGACATTTATTATATATGTACCAATAGCTTAGGGGGAGGGGGAGACGTAGGCACCAAATGTCAATCGCTTGAAAATTTAATTTTTGAAGATATTTCAGTATGGAAGAAACTTAAACAAAGAAAGACAATTATCAAGAAATAGGAAAACGTATCCTGTATTCCATCCCCCCTAAACGTCTATTCGAAAAATGCTCGAAATGTAATCGGCAAAGGATGTTGCAATTATATAGTCTCCTTTAACATAAATTTCACCCTCCCCACCCTCCCCACCCTCCTCACCCCTCCCCGACTGATTTACAAAACTTAATGAATACAGACACATCGAAACTTTATCTTCAAGATAAACTTGTAGAATACTTTGAACCCAATTTCTATGAAGCAATGATATTACTTATATTTTTGTTAATGTTTCGTTTGTTTTAAAATAACATAGATTACTTTTACGACTTCGTATCCCATTCAAAACCAACCTCTATTGGAATCTATGTACTATTAAATTTTGAGTCAGCGAAAAAGAGACAGACTTCACTGTTCCCCGCAGGAGAGGTGATGATACTATATCGGGTTTATTCTCAAGGTCATGCTGGTAACAGTGTTTCTTTTCTTTTCTTGATTAAATTAATCCTTCAAAACTGAGTTCATTCATACATGAATCCCAATTATCAAATTTTAAAGATTAAAAAACAATAAACTTATAATCCATTACTTCCTAGAGTAGTTTGCTAATATTTACTTTGCAAATTTGTTTAAAACACGCTAACCTATACATTGAAAAATGTTATAAGTAAAGTTTTAAAAAAATACCGTGTTCAGTGATCATAGGTGGAATACATATATATAGATATTCCACAGATAAGGGTAAAATATAAATGAAATAACCATAATTCCATTTGTTTTGAATGACTCTGACTCTACTAATAAAAAAAACTTTTTGTCCTTATTTTTATTTTATTTTGTGTAATATATATATTTTTTCATAAACTTCCTGTGCTGAGGTACGCCGTGTCAGATTCTTTTTAAAGCGGGTTGTTTTTACTCAAGTTACCGACTCAGTCAGTATACAGTTGAGGTTAGGTCTCTTAGGTTTCTGTTCTCTATCGAAGATTCTAATCGATGAAATTAAGATTTTCCTAAACGAAATATTTTGCTATTCCCTGCGTGACGACTTTTATATCTTAAGCAGCACTTCAAATATTGATAACGATGGTGCATGATGGGTAATAGAATAAAGTGCTAGACATTAATGCGCGAACATTCTTTTATCTTAAACAGCACTTCAAATATTGATAACGGTGCTGCATGATGGGTGATGTGATATTTATAGAGAAATTAAGTATTAAAACAATATAATAAATAATAATAATAATAATAATTTATTCATCCCTTATTTATTATTTATTTATATTTATTTATTATTAGATCCTATCCTAATGTCCACCCACGACTTGTATAGTCTTGTAGACAGATATTTACTTACTTTCTTATGTTTTTGCTCCAATCTCGTACCCAGAGCCTGCGTTTCTTCTGGCCTGCGGCGAAGAACAAGGGCTCTGGCATAATCCCTCTTTGCCAGGATTTCTTGAGCTTCTGGTATAAGAGCGCATACGTTCAAAGACTTGCCAAAAATTAAGAAAATATGTTCCCGATTTCTAATTGTTATTTTGTTCGGAAGTAAACACACAACTCTGTTTGATAGCATGACATTGATTATATTTAACTTCCGGAAAATTGCGCAAAAAATGGATTTTCCCAGAGCCCTCGTTTTTCGCCGCAGGCCAGAAGAAACAAAGGCTCCGGGTACGAGATTGGTTTTGCGCTCGAAAAACGAGGTTGCCGCATGCGCACTAGGACTAGGATTTTTAACCAATTAGGAAATAGGCAATCATCAACACGGGATTTTTTCCTAAATTCATCAAATAATTTGGAAGTTGTTTGAACTAATTAATTTAGAATAGACACCCTTTAGGACCCTATCTTACCCCCCCCTCCCCCCTCAATCCTCAATTGCCTTATTAGCTTTTTGCCATTTCTTCCCTATGCCCTTATTTAGATATATATTCAGGGTTTGATAAAATTATGGCGTGAATGTTCTTGATATTTCAAAGCATAGAGCCGCTGATACTCCCCTCCTCCTCCCCATAAAATGACTGGGCCGGGTTGTTCAAAGCTGGATGAGCGCTAATCCAGGATTAACTCTATAGGTCTTACTAAGAGCTATCCCAGGATTAGCACTAATCGGGCTTTGAAGAACTGGGCCCTGGGTTATATAGCCGGGAAATATTGCCCCAGGCTTTTACATTAATGATAGGGGGCGGGTCGTATAGCTTGGAAACTACGCGCTTCAGTCTATAACATACTTTTCATAGCGTACTTTTTTTTAATTCCTGCTCATATAATTTTTTTTTCCCTTTAATAACCCGAAAAGTTGTCAAATGTAAGCCGGCCCAGAACTATTAGCAGAGTTTATAGAGTTTATTAAACGAATGCAGCCCTAATCACCTTAAATGATGCATTATGTAGTATGTGGCTTATTGTCGTTGTCATAACAACCACTAATGAGAAGAAAAACGCTTATCTTTTAGATCAAAAGGAGAACACCAATTAGCAGTTTACATTGAAGACCCACAAAGTTCATTCTGAATTAGTAAGTAAATTATTCATTGTTGTTTGTATTGAAATTTGTGGGCGTTCGTGAAGTACACAGATGGATCTAATTATCTGTTCGAATTACACCTTTGATTAATATTCACTAACACGAAGATATCCTCGATTGAGATGAGAAAACAGTCCAAGATACTGAACTCAGATACTGAGCCGAGCTTGAAAATATAAGTAATGACAGGGAGGTGTAATGGAAGCATCGATACAATGACCATCGAGACGTTTCGTCCGAATTTTGAATAATTTTACAAAATGAAAAGGAAAATGTGTTTGTTACTTTTAGTTGCATAATCATGATTTCTAAAAACAACTGTGAATTTCAAAATCTTCTGTTTTAAATTTTACATTATTTCCCCACCCCCTCCTTTTTATAACCTTCATTTTTAAATTTAGTTTTTCCTCTTTCTTTTTGTCTACCTGGTCACGAAAACAACAACAGCAACAATCGAGTTATCAAAGTAAATGGATTTTCAGATTGTTGGGCTAGGACAATTTACATGCGGTTTTTCGATTTTTTTCGGTTTTGATACAACCCTAACGTTTTACTTTCCTTTACGAATTTTTGGTTAAGAAAGAAAGAAAAAGAGAAAGGTAAAAACTCATGCATAATGATTAATTGAATGAGACCATACAAACTTTGCCGAAGTTAATCAAAACCACACATAAAGAGAAAAAGAAGAATAGTGAAAAGATAGAAAAGAATACCACAACATTTACACACTGAAAAGAATTTAAACATATAACCCATTTTACCTTATTTTAAACTTTCCTTTACTTACTGAGTGTGCGATGTAGTAATTCTTCGGGCAGCGAGAAGGAATGATAAAACAAAAGTCTCGATATAAAGCTTTCACAAACAAATCAATTATGTTAGTAATCTCCGCTAGCTATTGTTTCATTGGTCGGCATCAAGATAATTAATGTGGTCGGTAACTCGCAAAGTCGATTAATGCTTTACTTTTTTTTAAGGGTGGCGCGCGTGTACTCGCTTCTCGCCCTTGGGGTCTCGGGTTCGTATCCTGGCATAACACGTGAGCAGAGTTTTTTGAGGTCTCCCTTGATTTGATGGTTTTTTGCGGATTCTACGGTTTTGTCCCTTTGTAAAATGCAAAAGTCGTTACGATAAATTCCAATTTAAAGCGTGAGTTAGCCTTGCCTGACTCGTCACTTTTAATTTTTCGATTCTATTAAACTAGCACCTTTGAAAAATATTACTTACTTGTGATTACTTTTTGAGCAAGGTTTCTACCTGATTACCAGACATACAACTGTGCGCAGTAATCAGTTTATCTTACAAACAAAGCAACAGCTTTTAACCATTTGAATATTAATACTACACTTATCGCAAGGTCCTTTCAGTAATGTTTTCGTTTCATTACTTTTCAAGGTCATTAGAATAAAACAATTAAAATAAATAGCGTCTCATTTCAGTGCTAGCCGTTGCCAGATTGAACAACATAAGCGCATGCGCATTGCTAGACTGCTCATTTTCAGTGCTAGACGCGCTCCTTTTGGCCTCCGCTAATATATAAAGGCCTCTACAAATGAACCACCTACAGGAACTAGTTTTTCTGGGAGTATATAGTCTCGTTTTCTGCCTAGTCAGGATAACGCTCCAGTTCTAGGCTCGGTACCCGGTGCGTTTAATATTACGTTTTCATCTGTTGTCCTGATGCCATTTCAGGCTTTACGAATATAATAATAATAATAATAATAATAATAATAATAATAATAATAATAATAATAATAATGATAATAATAATAATAAAATCGATGCGCTTTACAATAGACTGATTTATGTATATGATATAAAATATTTATATATATAAGAAATTTGAATATATGTAGATAAAACTAAAAATGATGTAAGAATTTATGATATATAGGTGAGCAATGCATTGTTTGTCAAAATCAAAACGTTTTCTCCTAAAAATATTTCTCTCGTACAAATTGAAATGCTTTTTACAGCCATTCTCAATCACCTGCTCCGCTCTAGCGATTGTTTCTGTCGCGAAGAAGAAGCTTTTGGTGGAAGTCAATCAAGGCGTTTCCATGACATTCTAAAAACACGTGACCTTATAGCTATATAAAAGTACGTTGTTTATATATAGCAATACCTTGAAACACAAGTACATTCCTTACTGCAATTTGACTTTGCAGTATAGCAGTTTTAGTATATTTAAATACAAATCCAGAGTTACACGGTATCCCGCCCATCCCTCCCACTGTCTAGGTCCCTATTCCTTAAGTATTTGATTCACCTTACTCTATTTTTAAAGAGTTTATTGGTTGGTTGGTTGATTGTTTGTTTGTGAACGATGAATTTCTCTTACGTAAAAAAATTGGAAATGTGGTTTAATGTGAGAAAATGTCCTTATTACTCAGCACAGTCATTTGGACTACGCCTTTTGACATCAAACAAACAACGAACGAACTGGAATCATATAAAATTGGTCACTGTTTTTAAATACATTCTTTGCTTTTAATGTCAAAGTTTTACATACTTTTAAAATATTCGCGCTCAATCAACATCAAGTTAATTCCTTAACAATATAAATAAAAGCTCATTTACATTTTCATATCGAACATTAACGAACTAAACAAATAAGTATTAACAGAATGATTAATTAAGAATATGTACACAATGGATAAGAACTCTTAAATAATATAGGTTTATCATGATTTATTAGTATAACTAGTACCGAATGATCTTGATAAGCTGCGAGCAAGTCACGCTAAGAAGATCTATGCCTTCGAGTGGGTTTCCTGTGTAGGTGATTTACAAGACAGGAGTCATATAGTCGGGGGAGTTTCCAGATTTACACGAGTTAATCCTCCCGAACCTACCCCCGACTTGCAAGTCTCTTACGAAGATACCTAGTTTTATCATTCGACAGAAAACTATTACGCATGCGTATTGCGCGCAGGTATTGGTTTGAACATGCGCAGTTTACAAAAGTCCTGTTTGACTGTTTGACGAGCATGCGCACTACAGAACACTCGTGTTGGGTTGTTTGACATGAAAGTTTAAGCATGTGCCTTAGTTGTCTTAACAACCATTTATTCATCTTAACATCGCGGTTCAAATATTTCTAAGGAAAACAAATCAATGTCGGATGATAAAACAATATTTAACTGGGATTCTCGCAAAATATCATGCCTAACCAGTACCAAGCAATCAGTCTGTTGCCTCTGCCATTTGACAGCAGCAAATAAGTCATCGTTCGCTACTGATAAATCATTCAAATATAATTATCCAGTAAAAGTAGCAAGAATTTTCACTGATGGCTTCAGTGGATTTTTCACTAATTCCCACACTTTGACAATTTAAATGGCTATATGTTTTATATCTATATATAACTTATAAAGGACAGGTCACTACTTTGCGTTGTGGGGTAGGGAACGAGAATTACTTTGCGATTTAATTGGAGTTCGGAATCATTTAGCAGTAAGTTATTGGTAAATCGTCTTTTCTTTTCTCTTCGATAACTAAGTTTTTTGGGGGTGAGGGGAGGGAGTTATTGCTAGATTGACGGAGATGTCGGGAGAGATTTTAATGTGTTAACTCAGATTAATCGTCCTAGATCTCCTCCTCAAAGCAATGACCGCTCCATTAATATTTACTAACATCTTGCGTCATAAGTTTTCATTTAAATAAATTACCCGCCCCAGTTCCCCTCAGTAATCTCGTAACCTTTCTTCTGCTAAAGCACTAGAACAGTTCATTAGCGCGCACGGAGGTCCATCACTTGAATAAAAATCAACAGAGCGCGCGTAACCATGGGCTGGTCTCCATGGATACTCTGCTCCGTGACAACAATCATCCGTGCAAGCCCATCTAGTATCTTGAGATGAAAAAATGCGATGATCTGGAATGAAAAAAATTGATAAAAGGGAAGGCACTTAGTAGGTCTGTAGATTAAGAACTGTTAGCTATAGAAGAGGGTTAGTAGTTATATGACAGTTGGTCAAAAATAATGATAGAAGTTAATTGACAAATATTTCATTATTTTGTTTAATATTATGGCTAGCGCTCTTAAAATTATTACAGTTAACTGATATTCGGCCGAAAAATTAATAGGAAACTGACAATCGGGTACCCCTATCCACACACCCAGATAGAGGTTGCCGCTATCACGGTCCCACGCCCATAATACAGCTTGGGCTGCCTGTGGTTGGATGGCAGAACGATGAGATCTCTCTGCTCTTTGAAATTGAATTCTTTCTTATGTTAAAAAGATTGTATTGTTCCTGCCATCTAACATGGCTGTTGTCACGTTATGGTGCAACAACTCTATTGCAGCTGCTGTACAAATAGTTGTACATATATGTAATAATGGCTTACCTGTGGTATCTCGCGTGTCATGTGGGTAACAACTTAGTTGTCCCGAGAGATGACAACACATACTCTCTCTCATATCACAGCACCTACTGAAGTCATCACTTTGAATAACATATCCATCCCTGCAGAATAGATTTACTATATTAATAAACACATAGCTGGATAGAGGACCAGGGATCATAAATGGAGAGTCAAACAAAAGAATTCCATATATGGCATTTTTTCATTGTTGGTACAAAATATTTCAATGATAAAACTGACAAGGATATTTGTTAGTTTTGACAACAATGCACATTTCGCACCTAGGTTCGGAATGGGCAGGTTATCCCAGCCAAGAGGTTTAAAAATTTGTTCAATGATATAACATCGATTCTTCGAGAAACAATTGAATAGAGTTTTTGACTGATCGCGTGATAGCATCCATGTTGACGGTCATGAACAGAGAATGAAATATTTTTTTTTATTAGAAAACAAAAATCAATTTCTTTCTCAGTAAACAAATAGATCTGGTTTGATCATCCAGCATGGCTGCCTATGCATGATCGTCTATTTTGAAGACTATTTCAAGACTCACTCTTCAAAGCTTGGTAGGAGCCTTGTCGTGTCGCGGAATCCTTTAGCAAATGGATTGCTATAAATCTTTAATCGTGTGATCTAGTTAAAAACAGGATTATTTGTTAGATAAATGAACATTTCTAGTTGTTTTCATCGATAATCATTATCATTTTGATCATCAAGGTTCCACTATAGAAATTAATTATTGATTTTATGGCTCAAGGTTTTTTAAGTGTTGATCTTCCTAATGCTAGTACAAATACGCGCCTTTTGATGTGGGGACCGTGTTGGACACACGATTATCAACTTTATTGATGGGCCATCCATTGGACCAATAACTATTAGAGTATTACGTCATTGGCATTAAAAAAAAAAACGATTTCCGTGGGGTCCAAAATAAAAAGCATTTCGTGAATATTTTTACTGGCAATTTTCTTACTAGTAGCATTAGATGTTGTACAGTATTGGAACTGCACGATAGAACGACTTCCGCGGTGCCCAAAATTAAAAACAAGTTGTAAACCATGTTCTGGCAGTTTTCTTCACTGATAATGGGATTGGATGTTGTGTTCATCTACTTTGAGCTGGACAACACAAATCACTCTATAGATCAGTTCAAAAGTAAGATTAAACATACCAAGTGGTTCTGATAGGCTGTTACTGCCATGAACGCTGTCTCTGGGAATATAAAGGAATCAGACTTGTCTAAATCTTGTTCATCTTCGGACGGGTTCTTAATGAGGTGTACACGTGGCTGGTACTTGTGCATTGAGTTGAGGATTATCTAAAATGACAAGATTATCAACAGTTAATATTCTTACACATCCATCCATCCACCCACCCACCCATACACCCACCCACACACTCATCCATCCGCCCATCATCCATTTGTTTTCTTTCTTTGTCTGTTCATTTGATTTGTATTTATTTGTTCAATCATGCATTCTTTCTTTCACTTTCCTTCTTTTCATTTATTTTTTCTTATTCCTTTATTCGTCCATCTATCCATGTATTTATTTATTTTCTTTCTTTCACTTTCCTTCTCTTCATTTATTTTTTCTTGTTCATTTATTCGTCCATCCATCCATGTATTTATTTGTTCATCCATGCATTCTTTCTTTCACTTTTCTCTTCATTTTTTGTTTTGTTTATTTATTCTTATTCATTTATTCATCCATGTATTTATTTGTTCATCCATGCATTCTTTCTTTCACCTTTCT